GAAGTGTGCAAGCCGCATAGCGAGAGGTGCGGATCTAGGTGTTGACAGCTGCTTACTTCAGGAGAAACTGACTGAAGCAGGCATAAAACAACATTTTTCTCTTCTTAAAAGTGGTTTTTAATTACAAAAGCATCTGCTCATTTTATTACAAATCAGAAAATATTTGTGCATAAAGGGAAAATCATTCCCCATCCCTGTTCCTACTTCCCATAGATAACCACTGGAAATATTTTGTTATATAAACTTTCAGACATTATAGAATAGGTAGATAGTTATGTATAGTTATTATATATAGTTGTATAAGTAGAGAGTCTGTTTTTTAAAAACTGGACTGCATTAGGCGTAATCCTCGGCAACTTGCCCTCTTCGTTTACTATCTTGCAGCTATCTCTCCACAGCAATGTAGTACAGGGGTATCTGCTCCCTTCTCCAAAACACAGCTCAAAGTGCAGCTGATATGCCCCAGTCCCAATGCCTGCAGTCACAAAGATAGTCCTGGCAACTTGCCTGGGTGAGTGAATGGTTGATACGCTGACAAGACCTACGTCTAGAGCAGTGTTTGCCCTGGTTCCCAAACAACCGCACTTCCCAGATGAGCACTGGCTTCAGCCTCCTCAGATACCTTCTCCTTCCCTGTCCCTCCATGTCTCCTCCAGGATATGTGTGGCAAACTCAGGAGCCTACAGAAGCCTAGATGAAAAAGTAAAAGAGCAAAGCATGCTGGATGGGAGAGTAGTGCAACTGTAAGAACTGGGCACGCTAGCCCTGTTTGAATGGCAGCCGCTACTCACACCATCTGATTCTCCCTTTGTAAAAAGGAAATATTGTCAGATCTCTACATTTTCAAGAGAAGCCAGAGATCAAATTTTTCATTAAAATATCTTCTGATTTTCAAATGTTGGTAGCTAAGATTTTTAAAACATATTCAGGTCTTGATCTTTAATTTTTAAAATAAGCTTTATATATTAGAACAGTTTTAGATTTACAGCAAAAAATGGCAAAGATAGTTCAGAGAGTTTCCATATACCCCTCACATCCAATTTTCCCTGTTATTAACATCCTATGTTAGAATGGTATATTTGTCACAATTAATGAGCCAATAATGATACAGTGTTATTAGTAGTTGATTTACATTTCCTTAGTTTTGCCCAATGTCCTTTTTCTATTCCTGGATCCTATGCAGGATAGCACATTACATTTGGTAGTCATGCATCTTTAGGTTCCTCTTGGCTACAAGTTTCTCAGACTACCTTTTTTTTTTTTTTAAATCACTGACAGTTTTAATCATGGATCAGGTATTTTGTAGAATATCCCTCAATTGGGTTTTTCTGATATTTTTCCTGTGACTAGACTGGGGTTCTGGGTTTTCAGGAGGAAGATCACAGAGGTAAATTACATTCTCATCACATCATATCAAGGGCACACATATTCACATGACTCATCACTGTTAATGATCTTGATCACTTGGTTGAAGTAGTGTTTGCCAGGTTTGTTACTTTCTCCACTTTCCATACTGCACGCTATAAAAGGAAGTCACTCTGCACATCCCACACTTCAGGAGTGGGGAGTTACACCTCACCTCTTTGAGGACAGTGTCTCTACACAAATTATTTGGGATTGTTCTCAGCACAATCTTCCATGACCAGGTCCTACCTACCTTTTGGGCTTCATCCCCAGCTGCTCCCTCCCTCTCCCATTCAGGCTCATTATACTACAGGCTGGCACCTACAGATCCTGCATGGTGCCATTCTTTCTCATATCTCTCGCTCTCACTATTGCCACTGTCTACACATGGGTGTTATCTTCTCCCTTGCATGCTCCATTTCCCTTTGACCTTTAAGACTACTCAAGTATGCTCTATTCTAGAAAGCTTCCCAGAACCCAGTCTGCCTCTAGGGACTTTCCTCGAGTCCCAAAATATCCTGTGCATGTTCCCATTATGGCATTCATTCCTCTCTATTGGTTATTCTCAACACACCTCCCTTGTTAGGCTGAGAGTTCTTTGTGAGCAGGGCTGTCTTTTTACTTACCTTTCTATCCCCCAGGCTTATATAGGGCATATGTCAGACACTGGATAAATAGATTTTGAATGAGTGAACGAATGAACAAATGTAAAGAATTCTAGATACAAGATTTCTTCTATGAATTTCTAGTCTTTCTGCCTTGCCAACAATCAATACATTCTGCCTTGTATTAAGATTGTTTAGGTGCTTGTCTTATTTTAGTAGCTCTGTTGCTGTTTGAAGGGCATGATCATGTTTCATTTGTACTATAATATCCAGATCACTGTTTTACACATTATAGGTATTTAATAAATCTTTGTTGAATAAGTGAATGAGTTAATGAACAAATAAATGAAGCTGCCTACACACATAATTGATAAGAGGGAGTCACACAAGGAAAGGAAGCATAATGAACTGGAAAATAAGTGGCAGAATTTTCAAACAAAATGAAGTTGACTGCCTAGCACATTATTTCTAGTTTTTAATCATGTGCTAGTAAATATTGTCTCATGACTGTTTTGATAGAGAAATTTAAAAACTTACCTCAATTATAAATGAAATAGCTACATTAACTGGTCCTTAACAACAGAAAGGAGAGTCAGCCCTGATTCATCTCTTAGACATGGACCTCCCTACAAAAAAATCCATGCTGCCACTCTTAAAAATAGCTGACTGTTGTATGTTCCTTCCTCCCCTTTAATAACCAAAAGAGCTATATCCAAATTTTTTAAATAGCATTTTTCTTTATCTATCTCTAACAAAATATAATTTTTCTAAGTGTCCTCTGCTGGAGAGAAGCAAACAGAAAACAACTATTCTGGAAGAAAAAATGTTCTTATAGCAAGATAGATTACCATTGTTATCAACACCAAACTCAACTGTTGCAGAAGAACCTCACTCACGAAACTGAATTAGGAGAGAATTTAGTCCCTCTTTTTCTTGCACCAAAAAATAAATTTTATGAATATTTCTCAATGTGTATTTCATTAGGTAAACCTGTAGAGGGCGTCCTTGCACCAAGAGCCATAGAGGTTTGTGCAGAACAAGGAAAAAAATGTTCAATTAAAACCACACGCTCCAAGTCAAAGAAAATGTCTATTGTGCTGTGAAATTATTATCTTCGCCTGGAAGACATTGGTATTACAACGTTAAAGTATTCTAAAAGTAGTGTAATGTATTCATATATACATGAATATTCACAGAAATAAAAAATAATGAAATGTTGGGAATGAGGTAAATATTTTTATTTTAAAAGGAAGAACGACTGTGAAGCTTTGGATGCAAACAGACTTAATTATGATTTACTTATCAGTATAAAGCATAAGTTGCCAAGAGAATGGACTTTGAAATCAGAGAGTCTGGGATTTGAACCTGACTCTCATTTACCAGCTGGCTATCCACAGTCAATTTACTGGACTTGTTGAGCCCTCAACAAGTAAAATGGGAATAATAGCAGTACTTAAGAGTTGTAAGGATTAAGTAAGCACTTAAAACTACTTTAAAAATTAAGACACAGCAAGTTCAAATCAGTAATAATTAGACATCTTTTCTAATTCCTTTTTTCCTTTTTTTCTATTGGTTGGTTGCATAGCTGCAAATATTTCCTTAGTGAAAATGTATATTCTCATAACCTAACACTGATTTAACTTGATGCCTCCACATGCCCAGCTTCTGTTCAGTTGTTTCTATTTGTTTTTCCCTCTTCAGGCAGTCAGCTACTCTACCAAGGACTGATTGAACGCCATGCCCAGCCCCAGACATTTGATCCTTGAGGCATTTGTCACAGCATCGGGGTACTAAAGAACAAAGACAAGTAAGCGAACTTTTCTGAGTCTGAAGGCTGTTTTTTAATTAAAAAACAAAAATAAAAACAAAAAAACTTGCTTCCGTTTTCTTTGCGCATTCAAGAAATTAGGCAGGAGGCAAAAATAAATTCTTTCTGCTGGGCCAGGTGGGTAGGTTATGCTGCATCCCACTGCCGGCCAAGCATGCTTCCCACAGACGAGGTGAGGCCTCCACCCAGCTGTGAAGTCAGCATTTTTTTTTTTTTTTTTTTTTTTGGAGACGGGGAGTCTCAGTCTGTCGCCCAGGCTGGAGTGCAGTGGCGCTATCTCGGCTCACTGCAACCTCCGTCTCCTGGGTTCAAGAGATGCTCCTACCTCAGCTTCTCGAGTAGCTGGGATTACAGGCACGCACCACCACGCCCAGCTAATTTTTGCATTTTTAGTAGAGGCGGGGTTTCACCACGTTGACCACGTTGGTCTCGAACTCCTGACCTCAGGTGATCCCCCCGCGTCAGCCTCCCAAAGTGCTGGGATTACAGGCGTGAGCCACTGCGCCCGGCCGAATTCAATAACTTTTTTAAAAAACATCAGCAAATGTGAAGATATCCAAGACTTTAGTGGAGCCCTACCACGGAGGGTCAGGTACAGTTATCATCCAGGGCCCAGGGCACTCTTCTGGGCACTGTCGGGTTACTGGGGAGACAGGTGGACCTCCCCAACTGCTGGATCAAGTGCCAGCTGAAATCCTTGCGCCTCAAGCCAAGCCCAGCGCCTGCCGTCGGCACCACCTGACAGTCGAACCTCGAGTCTTAACTGCCTAGGAGCGCACAAAGTGTCAGCCTAGCGCGGAACAGAGCGCATAGGGTTTGCGGAGGGAGGAATCCTGCTGGCGGAAAGGGAGACGATGGGCAATTTGCGCCTTCAGTGAGAGCCAGAGGAGGAACGGGAGTCCTGACCTCATCACCATCACTATCATCAGCGCTCAGTCAAGCCCAGTGTTGTCTGCTCTTCCCATTTCCCTCCCCCTAGGCCTCCCTTGGCCGGAGGAGGGGACGCGTGACGTCCCAGAGGTCTCTGAGTGCCCTTTCCCGCGTCCAGCAGCCCCACACGACCACTTTGCTCGTGCTCCACTGGGCGCACCGCGCAGGGAACGCAGCCTCAGGGGTCCCGCGCGGCCCCGCCCCTGCACCCCCTGCGCGCTCTCAAGTGGCGGCCGCCCCGGCCTCGCGGGCCCCACTCCTCGCTCGCACCTCGCTGGCGCCAGCGCTTCCCGCTCTTCTGCTCTCGCACTGCTTGTCCCCCCCGACTGCTGGCCTCGCCCGCTTTGCCAGTCTTAACGTCTCTGCCGTCCCCTCTCCCGCCCGCGCCCCATCTTCTTGCGCGGCTCGCGCCCGCTGGTCCCCTCCTTTCTCCCACCTCCTGCCTGCCCCCTCCTCCTCTGGCACACCAAGGATCCCTGGCACCCAGGCCGGGAGGCGATGCGCCCAGCCGTCTAAGCGGGAACAGCTCCGGCTGAAGGAGCTGCAGCGCCGCCGAGGCTCTGACCGCCTCAGGTTGCTTAGGTGCGGCACCAGGAGTTAACCCCACAGCGAGGAGGTCCTGAGCAGCATGGCCCGGAGGAGCGCCTTCCCTGCTGCCAAGCTCTGGCCCTGGAGCATCGTCCTGTGTCTGCTGGCCCTGCGGGCGGAGGCCGGGCAGCCGCGGGAGGAGGGCCTGTACCTGTGGATCGATGCTCACCAGGCGAGAGTGCTCATAGGTAAGGCCCCCGAGCCCAGCGCCTTCCCCTGCCTGTGTCCTCCTCCTCTCCACTCTTCAAGAAGGAAGGAGACCTGCATTTCCAAAAAAGTGTTCCCCCTCTAGAGATTTTCCATCTGAAAACTTATAAACTTCTCCCCTAAGAAAACAAAGCTGATCTAGTGTTCGGATCATGCTGTTCGTTTTTATAGCCCTGCGTTTTTAGGTGCACCCAGCATTTGTTTGCATCGGTGAACTCCATGTCCATCCCTTTCCCCTGAAAGCATGGGTCTATTGGCATCATTCTCATCATCTACAGAGGAAAATTAATCTTAGTAGCATTCAGATGCCTTGTGAACAGAAATGACCCATACTAATTCTTTGGTTCTCTTTTTGCTTGAAACTTCTGATTTAGATGACTTTAAGTCTACCTAGTTTGATCATTGTGTTTATTATTTTAAAAACCAGGATTTGAAGAAGATATCCTGATTGTTTCAGAGGGGAAAATGGCACCTTTTACACATGATTTCAGAAAAGCACAACAGAGGATGCCAGCTATTCCTGTCAATATCCGTTCCATGAATTTTACCTGGCAAGCTTCAGGGCAGGTAAGTTCTGAGAAAATTACCCGTCAATATTTCTACTGCCTTATGGCAGGTGGAAATAATACTGCATAGTGTGTAGTCTGGTACATTTTACAGTTATTAAGAGAAATTTCTCATCTGATTGCCAAACCAAATAAAGAACGAATTTCTGTGTATTTAAAGTTGCCATATAAATTAACAATTTTCCAAAGAAAAGAGTAAGCCATGTGCCTAAGCCCATTATTTTGAAAAGGCTCAGTGTCCTGAGGCTGCTGGAAATATAAAGACCTCAAATACCAACATCACTGTGTTTCTGTAATCATTGACATTAAAATTTAACATACTTAGAAGACTCTTTTTCCATAGCAGTTCCTAATCACTTGTGACATTCTTTATACTTTACAATAAGCTTTAAAGTCTATACATATTTTTGACATTGTGCACTTTTAAAGAGTCAGTGTGTTGAATGTTATTCACTGGAACGTGAATGTTGCATTTTTCTGGTAGACGTTAGATCCAAAAGGTGTCATGTAAGAACGTTGTAAAATAATGCAGCCTATTTTTTCAAGTTACCATTTTAAATGCTTTCATATGGAAAAGAAAACTGAAATCTATTTTTTATGAAGAAGCATTCCTTTTATTCCTTAGCACACTAGCATCTTTTACATGTTACCTTTTTTATATTTTTATGGCTTCTAATTTTAGAAAGAAAGAATAAAATGCTTATGTGAATTTAATTTCTTTTGTACAATTGGAGAATTTAGAGGACAAATGATAAGTAATAAATTCTTTGGTTTATTAGTTGGTAAAATGTGTCTACTATGAAAATCATTGGGTTTATTAGTTGGTAAAAATGTGTCTACTATGAAAATCATTGTAATTATAATTAAAATCACATTTTGAGGTCTTTTTTATTCTAAAGTTCCTTAAATGGCTATTTTCAAGAAGAATGTGGTACAGAAAACACTTTGTAAAAAGTAACTATTTTGAATTAAGAAACCACTTTGATTCCCTCTAATTACCTGTTACAGTATAGACATGACCATTTTAGCTGTATTTTCCCCCTCAATCTGTTCTTTTTTTCTTCTTCTGAAAGAGATCAAATCTGACCCTTCAATACTTCCATTGCTATGTGGTTTTAAAAAAATGAGGTTTTGGATTCACTGAGGATTATAACGGGAAAGTCATCTATTCTAATTGCAGATAGGTTAATCGAGGTTTCTATTGCTCTATAGCAAAATTATTTCTTTTCTCCCTAAAAGTCCCTCTTTATAGATACTTTATCAACAATTAAGTTGGGAATATTGTGAAATCAGTTATAAACCAGTGAATGGCCTTTCATTATCTCCTTTTCATCAGAATCCGTTTACTTGTAGTTGACTGCTCATCAGATGGTCATTAATTAAATGGCCAATTAATTCTATATTTTTGAAAAGATACTTTTTAACCTATACCTTTATGGATTCATAAGAACCACTGAAGGGTAGCTTGAACTGCACCCCTCCAGCTGGAAGGGTTTGGTAACTGGTTAACCATAGGAGAAGCAGAAAGTGCCAATAGCACACACTCTCTCTCTCTCTCTTTCTCTCTCTCTCTCTCTCTTTCTCTCTCTCTCCTTCTCTCCCTCCCCCCAACTCTTTCTCTCTCACTTATGTTCCTCTGCTGAAAAATAGAATTTGAAGCAAAGGCTTAAATTCCATGTTGTCTCCCCTATTACCTAATAGTATAATGCATGTTTGCAAATATTGGCATATTGGTGAGTATAAAATGGACTGACATTTCACACAATCTCAGGAATATGTTCTGCAGGGGATTAGGGAGGATAGTGGAACTGGCATGAAGATGAAGTTTGTAATATTTTTGTCTCCTGCTTAAGTGTTACTCACCTATGTGGATGATCTAATTATGAGGGACAATGTTAGCACCTCAATTAAGTTACCTTTCTCTCTGCTCATTTGGCTTTGGATAGGTTACCACAAGTAACTACATAAAATCTCGTGTCTGGTTTTTTTAGGGGAAAGGGTGATGAGGGGGAAGAATCTACACAATACCAAGCAGCAAGATGCTTTAAAATATTATCTCTTATTTTTAAATATTATTTAAGTATGACTAATTTGCTCACTAAAGTTACGTAATTCCAGCATCATAATTTTTGAAATGCATGGAAATTCTGAAGATGGGAAAAATAATGACTTCAATACCAATTAAGTATTTTGAAAGGCATCTATTTCTAATGGATAAAGCCAAACCACATCAAAACATTTACATGGAAAATGAAAAGTTCATTTCGTTATCTGATTATTTCATCCAAATGATATAAAATATTTAGGCATTTCAACAATACATAAACAGAACACATAGCTGATTAATGAAGTTTTAAATTTTATATTTAATTATCTTAGCAATATGTGGACAACATTAAAATAACTTCAGGATTGAAGACCTCATAGAAGCAGTAAAGTGTCACTTCCAGTAAATAATGAATCCAGTAACCCAGGGGTCCCCCACCCCTGGGCTACAGACCAGTGCTAGTCCATGGCCTGTTGGGAACCAGGACGCACAGCAGGAGGTGAGTGGCACACGAGTGACTGAAGTTTTGTCTGTACTGAGAGATTGCTCCCCATCACTCACATTACTGCCTGAGCTCTGCCTCCTGTTAGATTGGCAGCGGCATAAGATTCTCATGGGAGTGTGAACCCTATTGTGAACTGCACATGTGAGGGATCTAGGTTGCACACTTTTTATGAGAATCTAATGTTTGAGGATCCGTTGCTGTCTCCCATCACCTCCAGATGAGACCATCTAGTTGCAGGAAAACAAGCTCAGGGCTCCCACTGATTCTACAATATGGTGACTTGTATACTTATTTCATTACATATTACAATGTAATAATAGAAATAAAGTACACAATAATATGATGTGCTTGAATCATCTGGAAATCATTCCTTCACCTCCTGGTCTGTGGAAAAATTGTCTTCCACAAAACCAGTCCCTGGTGCCCAAAAGGTTGGGGACCACTGCAGTAACCCAAAGTGTTCTTGGGGCCACTTAAAATAGATCTCGTGTTCCACTTCAAACAAATGCAAATAAAAATTACAGTGAGATTCATTTCCCCACATCAACTTGGTCAGATCTTGTAAAAGTGGTTTTAGTATGTGGAGAATAGTGCATTATCATATGCTGGTGTGCATGTAAACCTTTTTGCAGGGCAGTTAGACTCTGATGGGAAAAGGCTGGATATAGACTTTTTGACTGGACAATTTTACTTCCAGAGATTTATGCTAAGGAAATAAGCATGGACATAAATAAAAATTTAGGTCCAACAGTGTTCCTCATCATGCTGTTTATAAAAATTTTTAAAATTAGATACAACTTAGGGTCCAGCATAGTGGCAGAAGAATAAAATGAAGCGATTGTAAGAATATTCTAGACCTCCATTTGGTGTCATAGAAAGAATCTCATGCAAATTAAGTAGCTTATAAATGTGATCCCCAACCTTTTTGGCCCAGAGACTGGTTTCATGGAAGACAATTTTTCTATGAGCCAGGGATAGGGGTGGTTTCAGGATGATTCAAGCACATCACATTGTACACTTTATTTCTATTATTATTACATTGTAATATATAATGAAATAATTATATAACTCACCATAATGTGAAATTGGTGGGATCCATGAGCTTGTCTTTCTGCAACTCGATGGTCCCATCTGGGGGTGATGGGAGACAGTGATGGATCATTGGGCATTAGATTCTCATAAAAGGTGTATAACCTAGACCCCTTACATGTGCAGTTCACCACAGGGTTCGCACTTCTATGGGAACTAATGCCGCTGCTTATCAAACAGGAGGCAGAGCTCAGGCAGCAATGTGAGTGATGGGGAGCACTCGCCCACTGCTCACCTCCTGCATGCGGCCTGGTTCCTAACAGGCCATGGGCCAGTAGTGATATGTGGCCCAGGGGTTGGGTCTATAATATAGTATATTCTGTTTGATTCCATTACAAAATATGTTGGCAGACATAGAAAAAATCATCTGATCAACATCTGATCTTCCAAAGTGTAAGATTTCATATTGAAATGAGCACAGTGGTATCCAAATGTTCGATTCTGATTTGTCTAACAAAAGTTCTCATTAAATTTTTACTTAAAAGCCATTGGGTTTAGAAAGGGTTATTTTCCAAATAAAATGTTTAATTAGTGCCTCATTTAGAAAACGAAAATTTCTTCATCTATTATGTTCTGGTTTTACCACAATGAATTTATTTGTAATTTTAAAAATTATTAAATTTATATAAAAGTTGTGTGAGTTTAATATTGTAGGATATTTTGTATTATAAATACTTTATTATCTGGTATCATTTTTAAACTACTTGTCACTTAACAAAATGGTGACACCAGTGATTTTCATGGGTCGTTGTAACTATGAAGACCAAATAATTCATTGATGCTCATCAGATTCTCACCAATTTCTTTTGAGGTTCTCCGAAATCTTTCTTGCCTCAAATCATTTTTCCTGAACCCTCCTTCTCCCAGCAATTCTCATTTTTCATGGAGCACTTTGCCTCCATTTAACCTTCCATTACTCATTTTTTGATGTGCCTCCACTCAAGGCTTTTAGGTGAGAGAAGAGTTTCTGCTGCAGAGGCTTAGCCTTAAAGGATTTTTAGTAATTGACCAAAACTACTCTTTATTCTTGTATAAAACTTTTCAGTAAATGATATTTTTCAATGAAGCATGTTTATTCTTTTTCCCTAAATTTGAGACAGGCAGGGGCCATGAGCAACAATTTTAGTTTTCTAAATGAGGCACTAATTAAACATTTTATTTGGAAAATAACCCTTTCTAAATCCAATGGCTTTTAAGTAAAAATTTAACGAGAAGTTTTGTTAGACAAATCAGAATCAAACATTTGGATACCACTGTGCTCATTTCAATATGAACCAATTTGGTATAAGGCCAAACGTTTTTATTTATGTAGTTCCTATAAATAGATTTTTATTTACAAAGGTCACATAGACTTGATCTT